CAAATCGGTGTTTATTCTGGGTGAAATCCACAACAGCTGCCCTTCAAGCATATCCGTTTTCGGTTTCGTCATTAGTTTTTACCTCCGGAAATCCAGTTGGACAAATCACATGACTGGTGTCACTAAATTTATAAATTTAGAGAAAACTTCAGTTTTGACGCGAAAGGCAGCTACTGGGAGGCGTCTCGAATTAATCCGTGAATCTAAATATTGTGTCCTTTTCACCAGGTAACTAATTTGAGTTTTAACAATATCTCTATTCAACGACACTAAACATACGTGAATTATATTTGGGATATAAATATCTAAAACCACAAATAAACTAAATTTTATCTGAAAATTTCATAAATATGAAGGACGCTTCTGTTCAGACAGGCGTGACGCTAATCTCGAGATTATCCCACAGTAGAAAGACGAAAGGTTATTATTAATATTCCATAGAAAAAATCACTGTGGTAAAATTTATTTTCATGGGGTTGGGGGTGGGTGGTGGTGGCTCAAAAGCATGAATTGGATCGATCGGGGAAAATGTTTTAGTTCCAATTAAGTTCCTTTATTTTCATATGTATCCGCGAAAAAAAACCCCAAAATAACGACATTCACAATATATCTGCATGAAGAAAATACGATTAGCGTGGAAAGTGAAGGTGAAAAAAAAAAACAAAACAAAACAAAGACCCCAAAACCTCAAAAACCGTTATTTACATCAAAACTGAATACATTTGTATTTATCATATACGTATAGCAGAAGCTTGACTTTTCGACATTTTAAATTAAAATTTTATTTTAATATCATAGCGTGTAGAGGTTTGTCATTTTATCTCTTTAAATGCCGGGATAGGTTCAAATATTACTTACTCTAGCAAAATCTCAGGTCCCTGATGTTTACAGATCTGGGGTCATATCGTTATCAATCTAGAACAAAACCAAATTTCAACCCAGGAGCCAAGTCGACGAGTCAAAGTTCATAAAGCACATGGAAGGTTGAATTTTATGTAATTTTTATCAATTTTTAAGAGCCTTTTTTCTTCAACAATATCTAATATTGGGAATCTACAAGGAGCTCCTTCACAATCTTGTCATACGGAAAGACAAATGAAACTTCGTTATTAATTACTAATAATGTTTTGTAAAAAGTTGTTTCTGAAATGAATTTTAATCTGTATTTTAGATATACTTTCAAGAATATTAAAATCTTTATTGTTTTCCTGTTTATTGGCTGAAACAATTACGATCTCCGAGTTTTATACCAATCAGATAACTTGTTACATAGCTAACCTAGTTATGAGAAAGGTAGAATCTGAAGCAGTAGAAAAGCAATTTTAGCAGTTTCCGAATTACCTTAGAGGTTTTCGAAATCTGAAAAAAAACTGATAGAGAAGCCAAAATTCTTTAATAAATTCACTTAGAGACTGGATATTTGGAGGTACACATAAAAATCACCGTATCCCAGTTTTGCACAGAAATTACGGATTCGTTCGAATACGTTATATATAGCAGACATCTTTAATTAGAATTTACACAACTGTTGATCATGTTCAAGGTCGTGTTTAACAAATGACCACGTGCGTTCACACATGAACCTGAGGTCGATAACAGCCTCTAGATAAGGTAAGGTCAGACCACATTTCCGGCACCGTCTGATTATGTGTACAAGAGACAGGCCTCAACAGTTGTCTATCTAAATATTAACATAAACAAATAATACTTTATTCTTTGATTTGCCCATTGTTTAAAAAGAGATCTGTGTTAGTTGAGTGAATTCAAGTATGTGGACCGTTTGACGTTTTTACTACTACACCACAGCAGTGACATCCGGTCTCACTGAAACGCATACCTTAGTGATATTAAGATATGTTATATATTATGGCCAAAATGCCAAACCTCGATGACAAGACAAAATTATTGGTTGACATATATTACTGTTTACTTGTTTGATGTTATATACCTGTAAATCTTACACAAGTACTCGGTTTGTGACCGACTATGACCAGGTGAAGTGTTATTGTTTTATAACGGTTGCAATAAACGATATATTTTTAATTCTTAAGTAATATAAAAATTACGCTTTAACTTAAAGTCCAACAGTTTCTTTTCGTGGAAACGTTTATTATTTTGTGTTTATAAATCCGAGGTATCAAATATACATTCACTCCGTAATGCTATTGACCGCCATTACTATCACATTCTACTGATGAGTTCCAGTCTCCCACGACAGAACGACGGGCATAAACTCTCATGTCTTTCTCTAGCATTGCGTACCTTTTTAAAAGAAGGTTTTATTTTCTATTTCTTTTGTTTGTTTGTTTTTTCTTTGATCAAATTCCACGTTACAGTATATCATGGTACGTAGCTGATTATTTTACAAGTGTTACATATCTGTACAATCTAAAATTATGTGGTTTACAGAGATTCTACAAAAGACACACGAAAGAATAGCACCATTATATGCATCTTTAGATAAGACACAGCAAAGTCACACAGTTAACTAAACTTCATCATACAGCTGATCCGTCCTTTTATAACCCGTCAATGATACTAAGGGCCTAAATGCTAAACCTATGATACGATTGAGGAAAATCTAGTGTGGTCGACAGAAATATCAAAATCTAGATGGGGAGTTGCACTAACCTCGTAATTCAGTCAGTTTCGTAATTGTGATATATTTGATAAGTTTAGAAAAACGTCAAGTACACGTGTGGACACGAATTTCATATCCTTGTGTCATATCTATTATCGGCTTTCATTGAAGATCGTACAAGCAGTTACAGATATAGAAGAAAATCAGAAAGTGTTGGTTTCGATGTCATTGTTATAATTTTAGATCAGATGATAAGATTTTAGTAACCCCTAACTCTCTATCAAATCACTTGAAAAATTAAGAGAGTAAATTAGAGGACCTTGTCTTACCAATCAATTACAATATTAATTCTCGTACAAAATTTCATCTGCAAAATTTTCAGCTCCGAGAGGTATTAGATAGTCGTGTGTAGTACTGTACGTGAAAGAAACATTACCAGGAATACTTCGTATCTCGAGCAGAACTCGTAAAATTTTCCTTTGTCGAGATATCCGTAGTCTTAAATCACTATGTCGATAATAAAAACCTGTTGTTAAACTGTATACCAAGTGTATGTTTTATCATCAGTATTGAAAGTATGAAAGCTGTTTAATAAAGGTTACACATTGATATCCTAATTTTTTCATCTTTTAAGAAAGAAATGCGTTTGTCTTCAGCGCGAATTTATATATATTTTTTCAACTTGAGATAATGAAGATGATTATCACACAAGCAAATCAAGAAAACAATTAAGGCGACACCTACCGGGGTCCGTGGGAAAAGGACAGCATATAGTACCATACGGTTTCCGACTGCATGTGAATTATGTCGTCTACAATTAAAAAAACCAATAGACTGACGTATGAAAGAAAATAATCGACAGATAAGCAGACAAAGTCCTGTTGACAGGAAGTGTCTAGACTCATTCCTTCCCAATTTGTCAATTAAGATCCAGATTCAATTAACCCCCTACCTTAACGGACCTTGGGTGCAACGTCGACACTAACACGTCCCGGGGGAGTCGGAGGAGACACGTTAGATGACATCTTTCAATAGCTCTTTCCCATGAGATAGGGCTCAATAATTTAACACTTTTGAAGAACAGATGGCAAACAACATAAAAGGGAGCCCATTTTAAACAACAGCAGAGAAAGTACCGTTTCTTATACCTCAGCTAGACAGTTCATTAACTTCTGGCAAAAGTAAACTTGTTTAACGGTGGTAACTAATTTCGAAAATAATATAATATACGAAAAAAATTATATTTTGGTAAAGTTCGGGCAGATAGTATATACATTCATTTATGCTAGGAATCTCTGTTAAAACATTCTTGATAAGATGGCGTGAAAGATTCGGGTCTTGTATATCTTAAGTTTGCTTTAAATCTTACGATATGTTTTCTTGTGTGTGATGTATACGTGTAGATTATAGACCTAAGTATCTTTGTCTAGTAACAGTAAAGACCGTAGAAAAAATACATATTTCCACAATTAATATGTTACATATGAACAATAATACATAAATGTTTATACTATTATATAATTTGTAACAATATTTATTATTCGCAGCACAATTACAATAATCGGAACGATATAACGTAATTCAATAGTTATGAAATATTTCATGCATGTATTGCACCATTGACAATTTCAGATACATATAAATTGTAACAATATTATCTACATAATAACTATTTCACAAACTTTTAAAACGGTATTACACACGTTGTGCAATATATCTATCTCAGAATTTTACGCGATTTTTTTCATTATTTCATTATTTGCTGGTTACTACTTGACTGAACATTATGCGGGAGTTTCAGAAACAATATTCAGATCAAGCGTAACAATGACAATACAGAAAGGTCCGCGATCTCAGATTCCTAACAAAACGCAGGCTCTTCCAATACTTGATCGGTTTGCTTAAATCATTTTTTCTTGTCATAAATCACAGGTGAAATATCAAATCAATATTTTAAAATGAAAATAAAATAAAAATTAATATCCTTTCTTTGTGTTGGATTACGTGGGTTGTTTAGTTCCAGACTACGTGCGGTATAGCACTCGAATGTCTTCGTAAGTAGGAAGTAGGCAAAAACCATTTGGTAAATATTCAAGGAAAAAAACCAAACACATGAAACGCGATTGAAGCAATATGCACCACACACCTAATTTGGAGTAGAGAGCAAGAAATCAACAGGCTTGCGTTCTAATATAACGAGTACTGTAAGTGGGTCTTGTAGATTTGAAAGGAGTAAACATCCTTTCCTTCCCTCCGCCCTGCAATATAGCTAGTTTCCCGCCTCAGTCGATGTTCATTCATTAAAGCACGTGGTAACAGAAGAAATGACTTCCTACAGCACGTAATTAGATGGCTGTGTATTACGTTTAAGGACGAAGCGTAAGGCCGCATACATCATTTGAGTAAACTGTGTCTGGCCGCATACATCATTGTGTATAGCGATAGAGTGGAAAGCAGCGGGGCTCTCTATCATATCCCCGCTGTGTATATGTATATATAAGTGCCTACCTGGGGGACAAAAACATATATGTACATTGTATACACCGAGTAACGTCTGCTCCGATCGCGGGCCCTTAACATGGAATCGCCGTAACTACACAGGATGGAAAAGGATTTAAAACCAGTCCTTTTTTAAAACAAAAATGGTTCTGTGCATTTAACCGTAGTCTTTTTTTTTTCAAAGACTTTCAGGATGGCGTCCGCGGAGACAAGTTTTTGTCACTGGCATACAATGTTTTCGCGGGGAGTTTTGGTTGTGATTTTGTTTATTTTATTCCCCAAAACATCAGGTCATTTAGACAAAGATCTGCGATTGTTGTCGAAATTTTTACCAGGACTGTACAGCAATAAACAACAGTATCTGGAAGATGTTAAAACAAACCTACCTACAGACCAGAGACATCTCTCCATGCAGTTCATCTTCCGTCCCGTTCAAATTCATTTTCTTCCCAATTCATTCAATGTATATGTAGAGCAGTATATCAACTATGACAGGGCGCCGTTTAAACAGTGGTTGTATAGTTTAAAAACAGACTACAAAGGGATGATGATAGATATGAAAATCTACAATTTTAATTCCGAGGAGTTGAAAACAAGACTGAAGTCAGATTTTACCATCATCAAGCAATTGGATGTGTCGGACTTAAACTCGAGCGCCGAGTGTAACATGCTTTGGCGCAGACTTGGACCAAAGAAATTTATTGGGACTACCAGACGACAATGCCTAGCAAATATAAATGGCGAACAGGTAGGTTTTGAAAATAAATCAATAGGAATTTTTTTTAAAAAATGGGATGGTCAGTCATCGTTAAAAGGATATTGCCGTAAAGCTATGGGGATTTCCGATCTAGAAATATATTTGTTCATAAGCTACAAGAAGTGAAAATAAGAAACATATTTTCAGCTTTTTATCCATGAAGCGTTTATCAAGGAAAATTGATTCAAACATGATTTAAGACTGAAAGTTAGTCATAAGCGTTGAATTGTTTAAAACAGAGAAAATAACCATTAAGACCACGTCCTTGTTTCAAGCCTGTTACACAAATTGAAAAATCGAAGTTACGATTAAAAAGTTAATTAATGCCTGACGGTGTCTCGGGTATAATGCTATACCAAATAGCTGTCACCGTATCAGGTATATAGTGGTACCCCACACTCTGTTAGTGTAACAGGTATGTAGTGGTATCCCACACCAGCCATTGTATCAGATATATAGTGGTACACCACTCTCTTCAGTGAAACAGGTTGATATTGGTACCACACACCAGTCAGTGTGTCAACTATATAATGATACCTAAGCACCTGTCCAGAATCAGTTATATAGTGGTACCAAATACCCGTCAGTGTATCAGTTATATAGCGGTACGCCACACCAGAAAGGGTATTAGGTAAAAAGTGTTACATCAAAGTCTGATAGTGTATCGTACCCGACACCGGACCAAGTTTATCGTGGTACCACACACCTGTCAATGTATCATGTATATCGTGGTACCACACCTGTCAATGTATCAGGTATATCGTGGTACCACACCTGTCAATGTATCAGGTATATCATGGTACCACACACCTGTCAATGTATCAGGAATATATCGTGGTACCACACCTGTCAATGTATCAGATATATCGTGGTACCACACCTGTCAATGTACCAGGTATATCGTGGTACCACATCTGTTAATGTATCAGGTATATCGTGGTACCACACACCTGTCAATGTATCAGATATATATCGTGGTACCACACACCTGTCTATGTATCAGGTATATTGTGGTATCACACACCTGTCAGTGTATCAGGTATATCGTGGTACCACACACCTGTCAATGTACCAAGTATATTGTGGTACCACACACCTGTCAATGTATCAGGTATATCATGGTACCACACACCTGTCAATGTATCAGGAATATCGTCTTACCACACCTGTCAATATATTATCATGTATATCGTGGTACCACACCTGTCAATGTATCAGGTATATCGTGGTACCACACCTGTCAATGTATCAGGTATATCATGGTACCACACACCTGTCAATGTATCAGGAATATATCGTGGTACCACACCTGTCAATGTATCAGGTATATCGTGGTACCACACCTGTCAATGTACCAGGTATATCGTGGTACCACATCTGTTAATGTATCAGGTATATCGTGGTACCACACACCTGTCAATGTATCAGATATATATCGTGGTACCACACACCTGTCTATGTATCAGGTATATTGTGGTATCACACACCTGTCAGTGTATCAGGTATATCGTGGTACCACACACCTGTCAATGTACCAAGTATATTGTGGTATCACACTTGTCAATGTATCAGGTATATTGTGGTACCGCAATATAAGAGTACCACAAATGTAAAGGTAACAGGTAAGCATTTTACACCTTTCAATTTTTTTCAGGAGAAAATGTGTCAGGTAAAAAGTGTTGTCCCTGAGTTTTCTCGGTCCTTTCCGTCGCGGTGTGACCTTGCCTTTAATTAACACTTTCGGGATGTATTTTGTATTCCGTGATATCATCAGTTGACAGCTGTGATTAGTATATGTATGCATTGTGCAATATACGCATTTTAAAAACGACGCTGTCTTGTCAAATAACGTAATATAGTCGGGTCAAAAACGGTATTAAATTTACACAATATGACTTATGGTAATATTGAGCCTATAGAGGACATGGTGTAGGAGTTTATACTTTCAAAAACTTTCGTTCTCGCCGACAAAGTCAGGAGTACATCTCGCTAATACGCTGTCTTTACAAGTTTATCCGACCGAAAACGACCGAGCATGTCCATAGTAAAACGCAGTATGTGTTTATTGGAAGAAATATGAACTGATTTTCTCGTATTATAATAGCCAGCGTATCTATTTGACGTGCTTTTTGTTAATGTCAGATACATGAAACAAGTCGTCTAAAAGTGAATCATTTTGCACGGCTGGTACGGAGCGGGATTATTTTTTAACTTAATCACGTAAGCATGGCGAATGACGGCTAAATCAAAACACTGACCTTCGTCATGTATTACCACGACCTTCATCCTTTGTACAGAACATTCGTAAATTGGCGAATTTGCTTGTGGTGCCCTTTCACCCTCACGTCTGTACACGGGACAGAATTATATTGTATAACATAAGCTATCTCTGTAAGTATTGACGCCATTGAATGTGAACAGTGGATATATTCGTGACTATAAATGAAATGTATACGGCAATTGTTGGGTCTGTTTACGAAGGGCCTTGTTAGCCCAGCTTCAGCTAACCATGAACCCGACCTCAACGTTAAACAAAATAAAAATCATACACTTTTTTTTCTAAAATTCTAATTAAAAATATTAAGAGAATATCACGAAATAGTAAATTAAAACCAGTTATAATATTGATTAATGTTATAAGTGTGCTTTAGTCGACTTTAAAAAAAAAACATTCTTAAATTTAAAGAAGAAAGCATACCGACCGTTTAGTGATAATCTATGGCCGTTGTTTGGGTAATACAGTTTTGATCCGACGTACGTCTGTTGTACCGATCTATCGGCTGTACTGCTTCAACTATCTATGACAATGGAGCCATGCTATTTAAGCATTAAACCCCGATATTGCAGTACTTTATGGATGTAGAGTTCGACCCGGACCCAGGGTTACACCGTCTTTGTGGATTACTGTAACTCGACATTACCGTACCTGTTGAACTCATCATGGACTGTAAATTTGTGATTTTGAGAAGTTAAAATTTTCAAATAATGAATAAGACCTTGAAAAGTAGATACCTCAATAATAAATTGAATTGAGAAAACTACATACCTTCCACTATTTTTTATTTGTTTGTTTTCAACTTTTGGTAAAACGTCAAAAATTTGGATCATGGACAATAAGAGCTATAACAGTAGGAAAAATAGATCCGTAAAAAATATGTGGGATACAAAATTAAGTAGTTTATTTCCCATTTAAAACATAAATATCGTTTAAAATTTATTTAAAAAGTATAGAAATAGTCTAAAGTGACATTTAAGATGTACCACAGCCAAAAGAATGTAAATTATGTAAACTGCATCGCTTGATTTTTTTTAGAAAAAAAAATGCGTCATCAAACGACGTCCTCTCCTGTAGGCTTCTTAGTCTTTTCATTGTAATTTCGTTAAAGGTTTTTAGTTCTAATGTCGTATATTTATGTTAAATAGTTTATGATGCAAATGTCAATGAAGAGAGACCCAGACATTACATGTATATAGCCTGACATTTACTCCAAATCAAAACGGTATGTTTTCACAATGAAATAGTTTAACATACAGAGGTGTTGCGCGGACAATTTGGCAAATGTTGGGCTTCATTTTCTAAACCTGGTTTATTTGTTCTTTTGTGTAGTGCTGTGAACATGCGATCCAAATATCTGGTATCCTTACGTAAGATTGGTGACGTCACCGACATTGTGAAATTGGTTTTGACAGGCCCGATGTACCTTTTGACAATATTGACCATAAACCTCATAGCGTGTTAGTATCACAGCTCGCACCCTCCATGGCATCAGTACATTTGGTGTGAGGTAGTACAGAATGGTGATAATAAGTGATTTCTACAAGTATAGACATCGCAAGAGGTAGACATCCAGGTTTTATAGCCCCCTTAGAATAATACCGTTCCTTTGTTTTGTTTCGTTTCTATTTTTGTTTAAATTCTTATATAGTTCTTGGACGTTCTTAATTTTTTTCGAAGGTATTATCTTATATATTATTTTATGTTTATTCTCTTGAAAATAATTATAATGTATTTATTCAACGAAACACAACTTTTTATTTATTTATTTATTTATTTATTTATTTATTTATTTATTTATTTATTTATTTAGATAGATAGATAGTAACAAGTAATCACAAAACGATACATGTCATACTATTACCCCATTTCGATAAAATGTGTTTGTCAAATAAGTATTTCACGGCTTATTGAATGGAATGTGTTTTCGTTTGGTCAACCTCGCTACGATGTCGTTCCGAAGTCCCGCGGAATGCAAACATTTGTCAAACGTGCCACACATGCTATGATTGAAGTTTGGACGAAATGTAATAATTGACACACAAAGTGATAAAACTGACCGATCAAAGGCCGTTAACGACTAGTGGTTGTCCAACTCAAGAGAACTATGGACCGTGGTAGAGGGATTATATGTGTTTTCCAGAGTTGAGTATGCTTTTGTGAATCCATGCGAACATTGCTACATTATACCGCTGCACGCCGTGTTTTTATATTAAGCAGTTTACATATCGCGGTATGGGTCCTGTCAAAGATAGTTTTAATGACAAATCGATTAAAAAATCCAGAAGTTAATGACTATCAAGTGGCTACAATGTGGTGATACTTTATATGTAACCGTCAAACGGGATTAAACGTCTTGGAGTGAAATCCAACTGTTAAACACGTGACGGTGAAATGGTCGTTAGGGGGCGACACTGGTCGCAGATTTTATGAGGATTGTCCCGGGAGGTTATATCGACGGTTTTATAACCCCATAAAATGACAAAGATATCAACTGCTCGGCCATTTTTGGTATCCATTTATAGCAATTCGGTCTAGACAATGGTAAATTTGCGTTGTCCACGAGACTTTTATAATTGTTGTTTCGTATTTGTTATAAACATCGGACCTACCGATGATGACGATTAAAACACTTTAACTGTCATTCTAAGGCTGTTAAAATTAATAACATCAAGCCATGACAATGAAGTTTTGGCACCATATTTTATATCATTTA